CTCTCGGCCATGTACTTCCTGCATCTAGGGGCTCACCCCGCTGGGTATAGCTCAGGTATGTGCAATGGACCTTTTCCACCTGGCCCATGTCACTTCCTCAGCAGCATGTCCTCAAGGTCTGTCACCCTGTAGCACCGACCACCTTTACCGCCTTTCGTGGCCCAGTAGCATCTCCTCGGATGCATCCACCATGCTGTTTATCCACTGGTCTCTTGGCCCCTAAGAACGCCGCTGCACTGGCGCAGCAGTGTTTGTCTCAATGCTTCATCTCCTGGGGATGCACCCAGCAGTGAACTCGCTGGTCACCAAGTTACTCTATGCTCAGCTCTTCGAGGCTCTACCAAGCTGCCCCCGCTGGCCACTGAGCCACGTACATCTCCATTGGCAATGTGCAAGGGCCTCAGTCTTTTTTTCTCACACTATTTTTTCTTCACTCTGAACCAGAGTCTCCCCTACGCCATTCTTACAAGTTTGCTTAGGCTATATTAAAGAAAAATAAAAAAAACAATAAAATTGTTTCAAAACAGGTTACTAGGAGAGTATAATCACTAATACACTGCATACTGCTGTCTTCATAGTAGTTACTCAGAGTCCTAATGATTCTTAGAATTATGCAATTCGGCAGACTTCTCACGCTCCACCATGACAGGCTGTGCTAGAGAAGGGGCTGTTGCTCCCACTGGTCCCTTTCAGGCAATGAACTTTAGGCCGGGCATGAAGATACACACCTGTAAGCCTGTGGAAGGCTAAGGCAGGAGGAGTAAAAGTTTGAGCTCGGCCTGGGTAACTTAAGAACACCCCAAAAAAAAAAAAAAAAGCTGAGAATGTAGCTCAGTGCGGAGGTCTGGGGTCAATCCCCAGTATAACGAGAGTGGGGGAGAGGGGAAGACTGGAATGTTGCCACCCTCCTTCCGGCTACCTGCTCTGTTAACTGGGATGATGAGTACTTATTAATGGGATAATTAGTTTCCAGTGGTTGTGATTAAAAAAATTACCACATAACACAGAATTTTAATTTCTAAATCTGGAGGTCAGAGCAAAGCTGGTTTCCACCAGGAGCTCTGGGAGCACGGGTTCCCTGGCATTCGCAGCAGAAGGGCTGCCTGCACACCTTGCCAAGTCAGTCCATCTTCATTTTGGAGCCAGCTACGGTGGAGAAGTCTCACTGTACTGGACCCAACACTGGTAATCCACTTTTTTTGTTGTTTTAACATATTTGGTAGAGTCTCACTACACATCTTGGACTTTACTGATCCTGCTTTCAGCCTCCCCAGGGGATTACAGGTGTGCCCCATCTCGCCTGGTCTTGGGGGCAGAGTCCCGGAAGATCTAACCCTGCTCCCTGTGCTTGCCTAAGCAGGTACTCTGTCCACTGAGCTATCTTGCTGGCCCTTCGGTAATCCACTTTTAAGGACTCTGGTCACATGGGGCTCATAATCTCCCATTTGAAGCCCCCTAGGAACATGGTCATAATGCTTTTCTCCTAAGGCTGTTCCAAAGATTACCTGGGTTTCTAAGTTCTTTCCATTCCTTGAGATCTAGGCTTGAAGACAGAAGCCCGTGTATACGGCACCCCCACCCATGTACTGAGCAAATGCCCACTGAGTTTATAGTTAACAAGGCAGAGCCTATGCAGTTCTTCAGGCCTGGCATGCAGTGTGCCAATGGGACTCGTCACCATCTGGCCATCTTCACAACTTCTTTTGGCACTAAGGGTCCAGCCAGAACTTCCTGAGATCGGTGTCCTGAAAGCCCAAGGATGTGCTGCTTTTGTTTCCCACTATCTGTCTTCAGTGACACTCCCAGGCTCCAGAGTTTCCCCTACCCCCAGTTTCCCCTAGCTGCTCAGGATGGGACCCAGGCAGGGCCAGCTGAGAGCTCAGTGTGTGCTGGGGTCGGAACAGCGGAGTTGAGGCCCATCCCGGCCTGGACAGTGACCTGTGTCGTGGAATTGTCTTCCTTGGACTCCACCTGGCCCACTGGCCCGGCCCATGTCCGTAGCTGATGCCCTCAGCTTGGTTCCTCTGCATCTGGTCCACACACAAAGCCCTTTCAGATCCGTGGCCACCTCTCAAGCTGCTCAGAGTCAGGTGAGCTTGCCTGTCACTGATAGTGACCATACAACCAAACGCTTCCACCGCAGGCGTCCACGTCCATCTCACAGGCCAGTATAGAGAAGGAGCAATACTTTACAGTGGACATGCAGCCACCTGAGGTCCAAAGGTCTCTTCCTCAGCAGCTACTTTGATATTACTGATTGTGAGGTCAACTCAGGAGTATTTATTCTGCTCTTTAAATGCTGTAAGTACTGTCTCTCATCCTATCAGGTTTTCAATTTGAGGCAATCCCTTTGTCCTGCTTAACTCATGAGTTCTCTCTAGTCTCATGCGATGAGGACCCCAAATCCTCCTCAGTGTGGTGCTTTCTTTCCCAGAGAGGTAGATCTGGGGATAAGGTAGCCTCAGCCACAGCTTGCGCTGCAGACCAAGAGGCTGGGCAGTGTGAGCTGGAGGTGCAGGCGGAGTGGGGCACCGGAGACCCCAGCTCTCGGTCAGGTCCCTCCCACCCCGGAGCTCACCCGGATGGCCCAGCCACCACGGCCTGCCGGGAGCCTCTCAGTGCGACCTGTGACTGCAGGGCAAACCTTCCGTTTTCCTTCCCAAAAGGCTGGTCACATCCTCCCATTCATCAGCTGCTGACCGCAACTTCCTCCTGTCACCTCCAAACCCCTATTTCTTCCTGGCTTCCTCCTGGGCTCTTTCACACGAGGGCAATCCAGCCTTGCTAGGAGCATAAGGAATGGAAGTCCTTTTCATGTTCCGTTCGCACAGGGAAACTGACTCTCACCTGGGCAGGAATGGCCACCTGCAGCCTGTGGCCTTTCCTCCTCTCCTTCCTGCCCACAGATGTGCAGACCGGCAGAGTTCCCAACTCCCTGCTCTGGAAACCCCATTACATGAACTTGATCCCCCCAACCTGACCACCCCAGGGGGCCATGTGACTCTGCACCCTGGATAGGCAGGAACTGGGCTAACGTGGAGCATTTCCTTGGCTCTGTCACAGTATTTAGGAATTCAAACCTTCCCACGTTTCTGTTATGGTTAACTTGATTAGGAGGAAAAACAATGTAAATAAGTGGTAACTATACTGAAAATGGCATAAAAGACTCAAAAAGAAAAGGGGCAGGCCGGCCAAATAGCTCAGTCGATTAAAGCGCCTGCTTGTGAAGGATCAGGGAGTTCAAGCCCTGAACTGCCATCCCCTCCAGGCACGCTGAGATGGCAATTGAGACTGGGCATGGTGGCATGCACCTGTAATCCTAGCTCTTGGGAGGCTGTAAACAGTCAGAGAACTAGAGTCTGATCTAGTAGTGAGAACTTGAACAACCTGTAGACCCTTCCCTAAAATACAAAAAAAGAAAAAAGAAAAAAGAAAAAGAAAGAAAGAAAGAAGCGGGGAGGGGGGAGAAACAGTAATTTTTTTTTTTTTTTTTTTTTAATGTATTTGGTACAGGATTTCACTACACAGCTCAGACTCGTGGTGATCTTCCTGTTTTCAGCCTCCCTAGCTCTGGGATCACAGGCCTGGTCTCGGTGGCTGGCTCAGCACACCTGGGGGCAGGGCCAGCATGGCATGTGGTGCCAGGGATCGAACTCCAGTCCCTGTTCTTGTCCAACAGGCACTTAAGTCTGCTGAGCTATCTCACTGGCCCAAAACACAATAATTCTAAGTGACAGAGAGTATAAAAGAGATTTAGAATTTTCTAATTGACAAGGAACAGCTGTGTGAGTTTTAACTAAATGTTCCATGCTTAAAATATGAATACACACTATGTAAAAATTATTTGAAGAACTCAACTCTGCTATTCTATTTTTTTTTTTTTTTTTTCTGGAATCGGGGATTGAACTCAGGCCCTTGAGCTTGCCAGGGAAGTGCTTACTCCACTGAGCCATCCCCCCAGCCCCTGCTCTGCTATTCTGCAACCATTACAATTGTTATAAAAGTACATTCCCTATTCCTATAAAAAATATGGATACACAGTAGGAGCATGGCCCCTTAAAAAATCAAACACTAGTGTCATCGAACAGGTTGTAAAGTGTATTTTCTGCCACCAAGTGCCAGGAGTTCTGGGCCTGAATGAGTCTAAAAGTCTTCAGCAATTTTCATTTAGTACAGTGGTGAGTACTGGAGCGGGGGGAGCAGGTGCTCCACTGGAAACCAGGAGATCTAAGCAGATGACCTTGGTGGCAGGACCATGCTCAGGATGGTCTCCCTCTCATCCTGGCCTCCCACGGCGACTCGGGAAGCTATAATCCCCGCCTGCTGCCCCCAGGGGGCTCGAGCAGTCGTCACTGCGCAAGGGTAGCAGGCATTCCAGCCCATCTGTGCTCTGGCATTTTCTTATCAAGCCCTTACAAATTTCAGCTACAATCCTTTCTATTTGTTCCCACACCTCAAAAGTGCACACCACCGTCCCAGGTCGGCAGGCCCTGGAATCTGAACCAGCGCCGAAGCAGCAGCAGCTGCTGGCACAGTCCTGGTTCTGTTCTCACAGGCATCAAAGCCGGAGCAGAATCCACGCTCAGCATAGCTCCACGTTGTGCGTGCAGAGGTGAGGGCTGGAAATGAAACCAAGAAAGGAGAAAAACAACAACTTTTCTGTTCAAAGTTTTCTATGAAGATATTGCTTGCATGCTACCCCAAACTCAGTTGGCCTCAGTCTCTCACGTAAGCCTGCGGAGCACTGTTCTCTAGATTCCACTTGGGGACTGGGAAGGGAACTGAGCTGCTCACCCAGGGTCCTGCAGGCCAGGGGTGGCGAGCCTTGGCGAGTTTGCAGTGACACACACAGCCCACTGTGCCCCGAGTGCCAGAGGCTCGCCGCCACTGCTCTTGGGTCATGAAGCGTGGGCTACCCTCACTCAGCTCTGGCTGTGCAGTGACCCCTCAGTCCTGCCCTGTCCCCCGGGCAGGCAGCAGTGCGTGTGTTCATGCAGTACCTGCCATTCCTGGTGTCGTGCTGCCGCATGTTCTTGATAAAATGAATCTTCTTAAAATTCTTTGGTCTGGGCGAACCTGAGAGAGTCCGACATCTGAAAAATAAAGACATTTCAGAAGCAGTTAGTTGCCTGCTGGATGGCTGTGCCAGCTCTGCACAAAAGCAGGAAGGAAAGACAGACAACTGCCTGGAGTCGCCCATGGCAGCAGGAGCTGCAGGGATGAGGAAGACAATGAGGCTGGAAGCAAGGAGGCTTTAAAAAAACCCCAGTGACAGACAACTTCCTTGATAACACCAATAGCAATTTATACGAGACTGTGAAAAGCCAGCTGACGAAAATGATTGTTCGTGTTATAATAACTTAACCTAGCCAGCTTCCAAAGACATTATTCTTCGTTGTCATATTAGAAAGAATCCTCTTGAATCAACATAGGCAAAGGGAACAGCAAGTTGTAAATTCAAAGATCTGGGGCTGGGGAGATAACATGGAAAATTCAGCCTAAAAACAACCTTGAGCCATTTTTCTTCCAGAGCAGGATTTTGGCCTGAATTAGCTGGACAGTTGCCTCAACTTCCAATCTGACTGCACTGGGAAATCACCGCTTAAATCTGAAGGAGAATGGGAGATATAGTTAGTGGCTACTTTTTGTTTTATATGTATATACCTATGTATTTGGGGGGTCAAGGTCTCACTATATATAGTCCAGACAGGCCTCAAACTCGTTACGTAGCTCAGCCTAGACTTGAACTGAACACTGCTCATCCTAGGTGCTGCCACGCCTGACTACTTAAAGATAAATTTTAAATAACTATACTATACCCAAGTGACTTAGATTCAAAACATTCTTTTTTTATTCTTGGAATATAACATTTGCTTGCCTAATACTCTGAAAATGACAAAGACCATATAAAATTTTTAAAACTTTTCAAATTTTGAGACAGTGTCTTGCTAATTCACTAAGTTGTCCAGGCTGGGCTTGAACGTGTGTTCCTCCTGTCTCATTCAGCCTTTCAGTGTTGGGATTAGGTTCCCTAGCAAACCGTAAATTACAAAACTACAACAGCATCACCGCCACCAAAACAAAAAGCCAGTAAACAAGAGTCTGGTCTTTTCTTGACAAATATTTTTTGGTTTTTGCTACCAGAGAAACAAAACCCAACCCTTTCTAACCATGTGCCCCCAAAACAGGCTCCTCATGCTGCAGAGAGTGAGCCCCAGAAAAGTAGTGCCCAGCTTCCCAAAGCCTATGCTCGGGTTGGGCTGGGACACCACTGACCGCGAGCAGTTGGAACTCAGGGGCTTTGGGTAAAGAGAGGACAACACCACCAAGGAGGCATAGTCATGGGAAGGTTGTGTGCCAAGCAGGCAGAAAAGGGGTACGGTTCAAACCACGGGGTAGTTCCAGTATTCCTCTTGGGGCCACGACAGTGTGGCACGCCCAGGCCCACCCTTCTAGTGAGGGTCAGTCTTTCAGGAACCCTTCCCCATATACATTGCATACTCTTTTTCCTTAAGAAAAGGCACCTTAAAGTGCTAAGAACTTGGATGAGTGCCACTGAGTTGAATGCACATAGCCCCAAGCTAGCAGTCATTTCCCAGCTTTCACTGGGAAAAGGTCTTTCATGGACTGTGGTCCAGAGCAAGAAAACCACATCTGTTGCCGTGTCATCCTGGCCTCCCTGGTGAACTCTCCAACACCCCAGCCAAGGCCTCATGAGGATTTCCACTGTGACAAATATCAGTATTTTCTACCCCTTTCTACTGCTGCTGAGAGGGATAAATGGTTACCTGTGAGCCTCATAAACTGCCAAGTGACACATTCAAACACGTACCTGTACACATGCACACATGTATGAGCATGCAAGCACAACTTTCCAGCACTGCTGATGTTGACTATTAACTACAAAGCCTGCCTGTTGGCTCCTGTTTGCCTCTGTGATCCCAAAGCCCAGCACCAGCTTCCTGTGGGTTTTCGGGCAGGATGGGCACAGTGGACAGGTGACCTATAACCCCAGTGCCACCTCAGGCTTCCAAGCCCAGACTGGACCAGGCTGGGGCTCGCAGGGCTGGGTCCACCCTCCCCTTCTTAGGAGGTTCCCTGGAAGCAGCCCCAGAGGCCCAGACTGTACCCTATGCCTGCAGAAAGACCACTTGTATCCACACCACAGGCCATGCAGGGCTCCATCTGTCTCATATGCTGAAGTCCTGAAACCATGGCTTGTTTAAAAAAAAAAAAAAGCAGAGAAAGATGTCACCAGTAGCTTCTGGATAGTACTGAGGGATCAGGGATGTCTTCATACCCTGACCCCAGGATCCCCCTAACCCCTGCAGCTTCCTGCCCCAGCCTGTCTGAGGGCAGTAGGCCAAGGACTTGCCAGGGGCCATGCCATCAGCCACCTGCCACCTCTATAAACTCTACTGTTTCCTCTTGCCACCTCTGCCAAGTGGCTACCAATGCCAGCCTGGAAGAAAAACAACTCTGGTTGCTCCCTGCCTTTAGAAAGACAGGCCCCCAGTGCCTTGGTCCTTCACAGGAACCGGACCCTGAACCAGGGCCACAGGTGCTTTCCGCGCCAGCTGGGGAAGGCGGCAGCAATGATTCGAACAGCTGGGGCCACCTATGCCCACAGCACGGACAACCAGGAACAGTGCAGACCTCAGCCGTGTTTGCAGCAAACACCCAGCAAAGACGTCCTAACCCCTTATTTCGGATACCAGGTAACTACCAGGCAGGTAGAAGACTCCTCGAAGCCCTCTCCTGATTAAGTGCTCAGTTCCTGGAGTTCTGGGGGGTTCTAGGAAACGTGATTGGTTCTGTGGAAGAGAAAGGGAAGAACCCCTCCAGGATAACTTCGCCAAGTCCTGCATTTCAGTATTGGCTCCCAACTCGAACCATACACCTCACCGCTCTACCCCTTCAATCAGCAAGCTGTTGGTTGTCTTGCTTTTTTAAAGCATTCAACTCAGCCACCAGGGAACCCAAGAAATGCTGGAAGAGCACTGTGGCGTTAGCAACGATTGCCAAGGAAACTGGCATGCCGCAAGCTCAGGTTGCAGCAGGTTAGGCAAAGAACAAATTAACGTCAGTGCTGCCTGTGTTAATGTGGGAAGTATCTTTTTAAAAACACACATTTTAAGAGATGCCAAATTAAATTAGGGTAGAACTGAATTAAAAGCTAATTTAAGGAAAGATTGGCTTTTTCTTGTTAGCACTGATTACAGGATGCACTTAATTATGAAATAGTTTTAATAGACGCCCTGGAGCCATTTGCCTGCATGCTAGGCTTGAAAGCCAGTTGGGTGACTGCTCTTCTGCCCCCACAGTTCCCCAAGGCAGCAGGGGTCTTGTGGCACTTCACATGCAGGTTGTAGAGCCCCTCAGCCTGCGGAGCCCTCCCATCCTCCATACACGAGCCCTGGGGTCTAGAGACCCTGAGCGAGTTGTTGAGCCACTTGGCCAGGAAGAAGAGCACCCAGCCCCCAGGTTCCCAAATCAATGTCTCTTCTCCTATATTCCAGTTTATTTCGTAGGAACAAGTAAATGTCTAAATAAATATGAAAATGTTTTTTAAACTTAAAAAAAAAAGTCCTGGGGTGGGGGGAAAGACTTCTAAAACTGCCTTGGTTTCTGGTTATTTAAAAAGTGTTATATTTGCACAAAATTCATTTGAAATTCAGTGCAGTGCTGGTCTATAAGGACGAGCTGGATGAAGGGGCAGTGAGAGCTGAATGGCCCCTTTAACTCAGCTGGCTTGTTGGCCTGGCTGGGTCTGGACAGGAAGGTGTGGGTGACAGGGACCCCAGGAACATGCATCCAGGTCCTCCAGCCTGCTCTGAACCTCCTGGAGACACCAGGACTCCTGGCCTCCTGGGCATGAAGGCCTTGGCCTGGGATCAGAGGTGGCAGGAGAACATTTGAATCATGTCCAATCACCGAGGGTCCTTCTGCTGTTGCTGCCACACAGCCAGAAAGACCGCGGCTTCTGGCTGCTTCTCAAAGCACCCGTGGTTTTTCAGTTCCATTCACTGACTTCCCCATTCTTAGCCGTGGTCAGAACGACCTCATCCTGAGCCACTCAATGCTGACCAAGAGCACAGTCCCTCCAGGGTCGCCGTCTGAACTGAAGCTGTCTCCTGACCCTGACTTGATGCATCTGGCCACAGGCTCCTTCTCCCATCAGGTCACGGCGGCCCTCAGGACACTCACGCTCAAGGGCACAGGGGCCGAAAACATCTGCACTCCTGGTGTTGCCCATGGAGCTCTTGGAGGTTGCGGATGTCCCAAGATCTCTGGGGGGAGGGGGGTCACGGTGACCAGATCCATGGTCACACAACACTTCCAATCAGACCCTGTCCTGTGTGGGCTCACTCTGCCCTCCATGTTCTGGAGAAGGTGGTCTGCAGAACGGCACCTCTGGGCTGCAGTGGGAAGCCAGGGACTTGCAAGTTCTGACCAGCAAGTGGCCAAGGCTCACAGAGAACAGACGCAGGTTCAAGGCAGGGCTGCAGCAAGTCCTACAGACCATCCCATCCCCTGCTGCCCTCCTCTCACTGCCTTCCCTGTGATGTCCCAGGTCCCGCCCTTCCATCCTTAGCACCTTCTGCTGGGCTGAGCCCACACGTTGCCTGCCCAGATCAGGGCTGCAGAATGCAGGGAGATGCAGCATGCATGCCTCAGCTGGGACTGTATGGGGGAGAGGCCAGGACAGAGATGCACAGTGCAGCAACCGCTGTCCCCCAGAGAGGTGCCTCGCCAGCTCTTTGCTGATCCCAAGACCAAAATGGACCCCTTCCAGGCCTAGGAAGGCATATAGCCACACTCAGGCTTCCTGGTATCCAGCGGGGAGTGATGTAGCAGACATCTCCTAAGGGGGCATCTTGCTAAAAATGAAGCCCAGACTTACTATGTGACCACATCCACAACAGCCCTGGGCTCTTCACTAAACAGTGGCTTTCAGAGTGAGAACACAGGCCTGGTTTTAGCTCAGTGCTGAAGCACCTGCCTAGCATGTAGAGGCAGGCTGGAACCTAGCACTGGAAACACAAAACAAAACAACAAAAACAAAAACAAAACCACAAGAGAAGAAGCTCCTAAATTCCAATGGCCCTCAGGGGTTCTGTACTAGGAGTATGTTCATATACCCTGGGAATCAGATGGCATTTAGAACTTAGATCATGACATGAAAAACAAAAACCCATCTTGTACCACCAGCCGACTCCAGACATGCGCACGAAACACCAAACACACACCTTCGGAGGGGGGCGTTCTCCTCAATATCTTCCAGGGTCTCCAGGGACGATCTCTGGGAGATGAGGCGACGCCTGCAGAGAGAGGAAAAGCCCGAGTTAAAGGGTCAGATGTTTCTGTAAAATCTAAAAGGGTCCACAAAAGCAAAGCTCACTCAGGTTAAAAAAGAAAAAAAAAACCAAAAAACAAAAAACACCAGGATCAGACAGACACTCGCTGTCTCTGGAGGGCAGCCCACCCACCTCCACCTGCCCCTGCACCTCTGGTTCACCTGGCCTTGCTGCCCCTGGGCAGGACCGTCAAAGGCTGCAACCACCTCTCCACATCAAAGACAAAATAAGCCAACGTGCCTCTTGCAGTACACAGTACAGAGGAACTCAGGTGCTACGGGAAGGTTTTCTAGACCATTACAAAGAACTTAAGTATTTAAGTATCAGGAACTGGAATCGGGTAACTGATACATCTTAAACCTCATTTTAAACTGATACATTAAAGAAAACCTCAAAATCATAAGGAGGTAATTAAATTCTAGTCTTTGGAAGGCCAGTTACTTCAAAAGCAACAAAGAAGAAATTATCCTTTTAAGAGCACTTCTAAGACCAGTAAGAATGAATATTCAGTATTATAATGCAAAACAATAACTTTTCTGGCTGCTAAAGAATTGCACACCACCTGCTAGAACCCTTCTCTCTACCAGGCTGAAATAAGAACAGGTCGCCGTTAACAAAGAATGTCTGGTACAGGGGCAGCGCTGAGGGGCGGTAACTTTAGATAAACCACTTCAACCACGCAAGTGATATGGCAGAGGCTGATGGATGGATAGAGTGGTCAGGTCTTTGATTTTTTGTTGTTGTTTTTGTTTGTGTTTTGAGATAGGGTTTCGCAGTATAGTTCAGGCTGCCTCTGAACTCACTATGTATCCCAGGCTGACCTCGAACTTGTAGTCCTCCTGCTTCAGCCTCCCAAGAGCTAGGATTACAAGTGTGTGCACCACTGTGCCCGGTGGTCTTTACTTTAAAAAAAAAAAATCAAAAAGTAAGAAGATACAGTAGGTTTTCTATTTGACAAAATTTAGGTTAAAAGCAAGCAGGCAACTCATAACTATGTACTAGACTGTCTTAACTATGTACTAGATTGTTCTATAGAACAAAGACTGAAACAACTTTTTTGGGGGGGATGGCAGTCCTTTTTTTTTTAGTACTTTAGGGAAGGGTCTACAGGGTGTTCAGGGTCTCACTACTAGATCGGACTTGTAGTGATCCACCTGTTTACAGCCTCCCAAGAGCTGGGAGGTGCATGCCAGTCTCAATGGCCATCTCAGCATGCCCTGGGGGCGGCGCCAGCACAGCAGGCCCCAAGGATCGAACCCCAGCTCCCTTTGCCTGCTTGCAGGCATCCAGTATATAATTTTTGAAAAAAACAAATAAATTACTCTGAAATGTGTTTTTGTTTTACAGTCTACTTCTTATAAGACAATCAGAAAGACTGGTTTTGAAAACTGTTCAAGGATGTCAATTTTCCAAGAGCCTTTCTTCATCTTTTGAGATCCAAATCCTCGCTCAGTATTCCTCACTCCTCCTCTCTGATGTGGACTCATCTCGTTCCTCAGAGGCTCACTTGTCTGAGCGGGCACACAACACCTGCAGCACCACTCCACGTCTGCAGGAGGTGCTGGGCTGTGGCAGGATTGCAGTTTCACTGTGATCCACCAAAAACACTGAGTTTCTCTTGCACAGTGCCACCAGGTCTCCAGGAGTCAGCCAGAGCCACGGAAGTCTCAGGCCTCAGCATGGAGTGACACAGAGGGGTCTAATCTTACAGGTGGCCAAGTCATTAGTAAACTGGCACATCCCAGACAGCACTGTTAGCTCCAGGCGCTCTGCTGGCCAAGACCCCCGGGACAGCGCCCTGCAGAGACTCTGTGCTTCTGAACATCTGCACCATCAGCCAAGGTGCAGCCCCGCTAAACTCTCAGCTAATCCCAAAGCAAGCCGGCCAGTAAGCCCCAGCCTCTGTGGGTGCCAGGTTGGCTGGACGGGGCCCCAGGCGGGGCTGGAGTACTGAGGCTTCCTGCCTCTGAATCTTGGAGCAGGTGTCCCCAGGTGCCACACACAGGACTGTGTAACTCCACAAAGGACATCCTTTGTGACTGCTCTGGGGCCTTCGCAAGCTCCTTGATCCTCAGTCTCAGCTGTAAGATGGGTAAGTGAGAGTAGCTACAAATGAGTCAGCTGTGAAGTCCTTAGCACAGTGACTCTTTTTGTTGTCTTGTTTTGTTTTTTGAATTTAGGACAGGGTCTACAGGGTGTACAAGGTCTCACCACGTAGATCAGATTTGTAGCGATTCTCCTGTTTTCAGCCTCCCAAGCGCTGGGATTGCAGGTGTGTGCCACCAAACCTAGTCTCAATCGCTGTCTCAGCCAGCCCCAGGGGCAAGGCCAGGGCCAGGACTGCACTCCTGGGACTGAACCCCAGTCACTGCACTCTGCCGAAGCAGGCACTTTAGTCCGCTGAGCTATCTGGCTGGCCTCACACAGTGATGCTTAATCAGTGGGAACTGCTCCTCTCCCTCTTTGGGGCTGCACCGGTTCAGTGCAAGGGCCAGGCTGACTGTCCCAGCTTCCCTCTCTTACAGTCGTGGTCCCGGCAGCATCTGCCCCAAATTCTCTGTGCTTGAGACCTGAGCTCCTTTCACACCTATATCCACTTTTCCCCAGCCCTCTACACGTGTCTGAGACAGTGCTCCGGAGGCCCAAGTCACGCGTGCTGGGGCACTGGCCACCGCAACACCAGGGTCACCACATGCTCCCTTTACTCTCACCTGTGTCTCCCTGGGATGCAAACTCAGCCAGCCCTCAGGAACACCCAAGAGGCTCATCCTCTCCTCTCCCAATGGGCCGGTGGTTCTGAGAGGCTTCACTCCTGCCCTTAAGGGACTCATGTTCAAGTGGAGTCTGGGTACCTCCAAGCCTCATCATCCTGGGGGGCTGCCCTCTGATAGGTGGCATGGAGATTCCAGCCAGACCCCACGTGTGTGGGGAGGCCCCTGCCCAGTACCACTACCCCCAGCGAGGCCGCCAGTCAGAGCTGGTGTCGCCCCAGAGAAGGAGGCCTGTTCACAGAGGCACACACCAGACACTGCCACTCTCAAAAAGCTGCATCTAGTTCTTCCCACACTAAGAAGAAAAGTGCCTTTTGAGAAAATTGCCAAATTAGGATACATTTTTTCTATAAAGCCAGAACAACTTGTGTTTTTAAAGAGCGCTCGCACGTTGGATATTTTCCTCCTGATTTGCAAAGTGTAGATTCACATACTCCGCAAAACTAAGCGATCTCTCCCTTCCTCTTGGGGAGGTGATCAGCTCAAGAACGGATCAGAGACCTTACAAGAGGGACTTCCCAGCACGTCCAACAACCTCTCCACCACTCAACACGGAAAGTTGGAGTCTCTAACGTAGAAGAGGCCCCCAGCCAGCCCAAGACCACCTTGGCACCAAGCTCAGACTTCCAGATTCTGGAATTGTAAGAAAATAAATTTCAATTACTTAGCACCTAGTCAGTTTTTTTTTTTTTAAGTAGAACAAAATGCTCAGAAAGGATGACTAATTCCAACAGAAGCCTTTCCCACCTCAGATAAGCATCATTCGTGGGTACCAGGTCACAATCTGTAAGCTGGTCACAGGCACTCTGGGTGCTCCCCACCCCAGTTCCTTCCATGATGTCATCTTCCACTTTCTAGGCTCAGGAAGCCCCGGGAGGCCTGGGCAGGCAGCCAACCTTAACCAGAACTTTCACCCTGCAATTTGCCTCCTGGGCAAGCTCAGCATAAGGCCACCTCTTTACCACAGGGCGCACTCCACAGTGGAGATCTCTGCAGATTTTAATGACTGATAAAGAATACTTAGCCTTGGACCAAAACAACACGCACCCCACCTTAGTAACCACGCAGACGCTCAGCAAGGATGGCAGGACGTGAGGCAAAAGCATTATACACTGACATCACTCACTGGAAATGTCTACTTCTCACCTGCAGATCCTGCCTACATCTGGGCTTCTCATCTTGTCCAACAACTACGAGTCGGGACCCTCCACGCTGGCCACACTAGGTGGCCAGTGTGGCTCACACTGAGTGCCTATGCATCAGGTGGCTTCCGGGAAGCAACAGGCTTATTTTATAACAATGTACTTTGAATGTGTGGCTCTGCCGGGAGAAGTCTTGACCACTGTGCGGAACATTGAATATGCAGACATGAGCCAAATGACTCCATACATTGTTAAGGGCTAAAGGCTCATCTAGGGGGAGGTCACTGCATGCTCCAGGGGCAGGGGCTGGGCACAGCAGTCCTGTTAAAGTCAATCCACCTACACTGAGAGCTTTGCTAGGCACAGTGGCCCTATAATCCCAGTACTTGGGAGGCAGGGACAAGGGGATTGGGACCTTCCTTCAGTCCTTCCTTGCTTCCAACTGCACAGGACCAGCATTTTGAAAGTGCCCTCCATGCACAGAGGGTTCATGGCCCCACATCCAGCAGGAGCAGCCAGCATCCAAAGCAGCTGCCACCTAGCGAATGCTCTGTCATCATCCAGCAGAGCAGGCCGATCACAGCTCGAGGACAAGGCGGGGCACTGGCCACACAGGGAGAGTTAGGCCAGGCCTGGCTGGGTCTGATTCTTCAGTGTGGAAAGGGGATGTGAGGTTGGGCCGCTGGCTGTGCATCAACACAGTGGGGGCGGATGTGATTATACTCAGCTCCCGGGAAACATCTTCTATCCTACCTCCTGCGAGGAGTACCTACAGGATTTGATGAGCAAAGGAAAGGGAACTCGCCATCTATGGAAAAGGACTGAGGCTAGGGAACGACTGGGATTAGCAAATGCACAAGTCTAGAATATTTGTACTCTGTGTAAAGAATCAGAGGATGAAAGATCTGCCACTGAGTCCCCTGGGAGAAAAACATTAGTTTGGGGAGAGCAAGAACACCAGGCCCAGCCATCCCTCAGTCACAAAAAGGCCATTTCCCAGGGGGGTTCTGGTTTTCCCCTTTCCCACCTGTGAGCCAGACTACCAGAGGGC